GTAGTGTACAGCATCGATTTCTGTGGAACCCAGTAGCTGTCAAAACTTTCACATTTTTACGAATAACTCGGAAATCGTAAATTTTTCAGGTAAAACGTTTGACACAAACTTAACTTAAATTTTGACGACAAATCTGAAAATGAATGAAAAAAGGGGCGGTTCTATTTAAAAAACCAAAGTTGGTAACTACCACACGTTTATGATACACCCCGTATATTGGAAAGTAATTTTAAAATGTGGATCTTTTAAACATGAAAAACTTTTGTAGGACGTATTTTCTTGTAAAGTTCATATTTACTGAGATATCGCACTTTGACGCACTAATGAGCAACCCTGTATATTCCAGAAATCAATAAAAAAAATTTCAAAAATACTAAAGCCACATAACATTATAATTGAGGAAAAAACAAAAAACAACTAGTCAAGTGAATCTTTCCCAAAACTAAAACCAAAAACTGACAAAATGGATATACCAAATACTGTATATAGAGTGAATTGTATAGAATGTGATAATACATATATAGGACAAACTAAACAATATTTAAAAAAGGGAATGTACGAACATAAATACAGTCTGAGAAACACTAGTGAAAATAAAACAGCATTAACACAACATGCCCACCAAATGTTGCAAAATTTTGATTTTAACWACGCAGATATATTAGTTAGGGAAACAAATTATCATAAAAGAAGAATCCAAGAAATTATACAAATAAAAAAACATGCAAAAGCRGTAAATTTCAGATCAGATACGCACAACCTTTASCAAACCCTACAACATTTACCAAACATTTACCAAATTTACCAAACCATTTACCAAACCCTAATAAAGCCATAAGTATGGAACATCCAGTACACTGGTAAAAAAAAGAACTATTTCTGCTTATCTCAATACATGCATACCACTCTCACAAATGTAGAAAATAATGCACACAAATTTCAAGAAGGCAAAGCCCTAAAAAAACGTTGATTTTTATCAAAGTTTTTCCAGTGTTTTGCTCTCCCAAAAGGAATTATTTTTTCCCTCAAAAACTGATGAATGTTTTAACGCTTTATAAATTATAGTTTTTACACAACATGTTTTAATTGTGAATTGGCGTTTGCAGATCGTGTAAATTTTAAATCTGATGATAGCGCTGTTGTCTCGCCGAAACGTAATGAAATAAACAATGTTCAAAATTTTTGCTTCACACTTTGACTGAGACCCAGGAAAGATAAGACTATCACTACAGTTCAGTGATATGAGATATAACGACGTGGAGAGTGGAGCACGACTGGAGAGTCGTTCTCCATTAATAGAAGAAAATGTAAATTATTGCCAAATTAACGATTTTTCAATTTAGCAGTTACCATGGCTACGTCGCTAGGTGATTTGTTCCTGACTACGTCAACTTGATCAGATTTCCAAACTAAAAATGTTTACATTTTCTTCTATAAATCGAGAACGACCGAAGATATCGCAATACGGTTTTCACTAAAATGTAGGTAATTTCAAGCTGCGTAAGAGTCTGTGGAATAACAAGTATCGTACCATTTAGCTATTGTCCAAAAATCACAAAAATGTGTATTCGCAGCAGAAAACGCTCTCTAATTCACTTATTTCACCGAGAAATGGCTTTTAAAAGACATTAAAATGATCTTTTAAACAAGGCCGCAAATAGTGAAATCGGTTAAGTGGTTCACGAGAAATTAAAATTTAAGTACTGAAAACTGCCAGGGCCTCTTAGTCATTTATTATGATAAATACAAAAAACATTCACAGGGATAAACGATGCGCTATTAGCCAAGCTCTCAAATAACGTTTTTAAAGTTACAGCTCATCTCCCCCTTTTCCGAGATGCCAAGACTTTTTTGGTTTGTAGTAGTTACGTGGCAAGTTACGCCCCTTAGC